CGCGGGAGGGCAAGGGGCCCGGGAGGGGAGGCCACACGCACCGGTCTCGCCCAGCATGCTGGCCAGGGTGGCACTGGAGCAGGCCGCCTCACGGGTCACCTGGAATCGGACACCATCGGAGCTGACAATCTGTGCTGGCGGGCGTCAGTGGCCGACAAGGTAGAGAGGGCACATGGGCCAATGGGGGCAGGGAGACCGGGCGCCCCATCAACGCACCGTGACAAAGGCCGACTCGGCGGGGTTCATGGCTTCGGGCGGGCAGGGGAGGGGGGGGGGGCAGTCCACAGCAAAGGGCGGCCAAGCAGCGACGAGGGATCCGGGCAGCGAGGGGGAGGGAGAGCGACGGAAAAATCGAGCGTTTGTGTGCATCAACCAGAAGGGAGGGGCCCAGCCTCTCCCGATCGGCGCGCGGCCGGGCCGCCGCCCGAAGTAGATGCGGGCCCGGGACGCGCCCCTGACAGCTCCCAACGGTCGGCAATATTTGAATATGCCTCCCGTTCCGCGGCTCGCGTTCGCAACACCGGCCCCGCGGGAGTGCACGGCCCGCCCGGGTCCCCCCCCCCCCCCCCTGCCGACTAGGCGCCCCTCCCCCGCGCCCGGCCAGGGGACCGGCTGGCTGGCAAGATCGCCACCAGACCCGGGGCTCGGGCTCGGGCTCGGGCGTGCTCCCTGCCGAAAAGCCCGCGGCCAGGCTGCGCTGCACCCGAGTGCCGCCGGCAATCAGCCTCCTCCCATCTCGCGCCTGCCCCCTCCCCCCCCCCCCCTCCGCACCCCCTGCCTCGCCCCCGCCCATTTGCGCGACCTGATGCTCCTGGATGCCTAGTCCCCTGCCTCCTCTATGCCTGAGGCACCCGCCCTCATCTCTCTCGGTTCGTCCTTCGCTGTGGCCCCGCGTGGCCGCCTCTGTGCACACATCGCACAGAGGCGCGCGCCCCGTCCGCCAGGAAATAGCCCATCGCACACACACACACACACTGACTTGCCTCGCCCTCCCCTTGACTCCTGCCGCCCCCATCAGCCGCACCTTCCCGGCGAGTGTGTGTCGTACCAATGCCCGGACGGCGGCTACGGGGAGGTGTACATCAGCCAGGACCGCCTGAGCCTGTCGATCTTTGAACGGGGCGTGCTCCTGCGCCAGCACACGGTTCCCCCCGCCTCGGGCCGGATACTCGCCTGCTTTTGGGGGGCGCTGTCGTGGGGGCCGGCCAGCGCGACCGGCGGTCCCCGGCACCCGGCCTCGCCGGCCCCCTCGGCCAGCCCAGTTGACCCCGGGCCCGGGCTGTGGATTGTCTGCCAGCACAGCGTCCACGCGTATGTGCCCGGCCGCGAGGAGTTCCTCCGGTCGGCGTTGGACTTTCGCGTGAGCCGGGCATGGATCCTTCGCCAGCGCGCTACCCCGGCCCTGGACCAGGGGGACGTCCTGCTGCTGGAGCGCCACCTGCCGGGATCGACGGCCTGCCTGCAGGCTGGCAGTGCCCCCGGCGAGGTGCCCGGCGGCCCGTGTGGACATCTGGCCTGCCGCGCGCCGACCGACGGGGCGCTCTACTTTTCGCTGGACCATCCGCTGGCGCGCCCGGTCCCGGTGGATCTGCCCCAGGGGTCGCGGCTTTGGCGCATCCTCCATGTGCACGATAGCGGCCTGTCCCAGCCACCCGGGGCCGGGTACTGCCCGGTGGTGGTGGGCGTCGGGCTGGGCCCCCGGCGCCGGGGGGTCGCCGATGCCGACTTCCAGCTGGGGCTGTGGACATGGAGCGCGCGGGTGGACGGGGCAGCCGCGGCCACGGCGGCCGCCGCCGCGGCCGCCGCCGCCGCCGGCATCGCCGGGCACCCGGACCTCTCGCAGCTGGACATGCTCGAGGCCTCCATCCAGGACCTGTTTGTGGATGTGGCTGGCCCCGGGTCCCCGGGGGCAGGGGCCGGGGCTGACGCGCGAGCCGGGTCGCCGGGCTGGCGTCCCGGCCGGCCGGTGGCACTCCGGTCGCCGGTTCGGTCGCCCGGCCGCGCGGCCGGGCGCTTGTCCCCCGGGCCGGGGCTGCTGCCCTTGCAATCGCCCCGGTCGCCGGTCGGCGGATCGCCGCTGGCCCGGCATCCGGCCGGCACCGTGCCGGCACCCCCCCGGGCGGCCCTCCTCCGGAGTCCATTGCACCAGTCCCCGCGCGAGGGGGGGGGCGCCCCCTCGCCGCCGCTGGGCCCCGGGCACCCGGCCGGCCACTCGCCCTCCGGGGCATTTGGCCATCCGGCCCCGGCGTCCGAGGCTTCGAGCCTTGGCTCGGACTTTTGGTCCTTCGTCCCGGGCCCCCACCAGCCCACCGTGTCCCTGCAGCTGGTGCGCTTCCTGCCGCCGCTGAGCCGCGCCGACACCGGGCTCCTGCCGCGGGCCCTGCTTGGGGCCCTGGAGCCGGGCTCGTGCCTGTCCACGGCCGCCGGCCCGGCCACGGCCCTCCGGTGCGATGTGGCTCACGATTCCCTCGGCTGGCCGGTGGTCTTCATCCACCTGCCCGAGACCCGAGCCCTCCTGTGCACGTACCTGGTCCCGCCGCGGGAATCGGCCCCGGTCCGGCTGGACTCGCATTTGCCCTCGGCCTGGCGCGTCCGGCAGCGTGCCCAGCTCGACGGGGTGCTGGACTTCCTGTGCATCGGCCACACCGGGCTTCGGCCGGCGGTCGGTGCCCCGCCGCTGGTCCCCCCGGTCTCCGGGCTTTCGCTCGATGACGATCCGGAGGAGGAAGACCCGGAGGAGCCCCCCACCGGGGCCCGGGCGCCCGGGCATTCGCCCCCCGGGGGCGACCCCGCGACCGGCCGGTCATCGCCGGTCGGCGCCGCCGCCGCCACCGCCGCCGCCGGGGCCCCCTCGGGCAGCGCGCGAGACCCCCTGCCGCAGACGGGCCCGGGCGCCGGGGCCGCTGCCACATCGGCCACCCCCCCGGCCGGCGTCACCACCGCCAGGGCCATCCCCCCGCCGGCGCTCCTGCGCGACCTGTTGGTCTTGCTGGACTCCGGCTCCGGCGCGGCCAGCCTCTACGTGTCCCTCTGCCTGTCGGAGACCCTGCTGCCGGTTCGCCTGCCCGCCGCCCCGGCGGACAGCCCGCTGGCCGGGGCCTACTCGACGCCGGGCCCGGCCGCCGAGGCCACCGACGCAGCGACCCCGCCCACATCGCCCACGTCGCCCGCATCGGCCGGCCCGGCTTCGGCCGGCCTCCTCCGGAAGAGCCTCTTCCGGGCGGATGCGCGCTTCTGGCCACGGCTGAGCGTCGGCGGCCGGGTGGTCTTGCGCCCGGCCGCCGGGGCGGACCTCTGCGAAATCCACCTGCCGGAGGCCATCCGGCCGCGGGAGCCGGCCCTGGCCGCGGCGCTGGATCTGGCGAAGGCGGTCCTGCCGGCCCGGGCCTGGTTCCATGCCGTGGCGCTGATGTCGCAATTCGAGCAGGGCGCCCACCGGGAGGCCCTGGCCGCCGGGACCGGGGGCGCCTGGCGAGCTCTGCTGCTGTCCCTGTGGGCCGCCTGCCACCCGGACCCGGGCCCGGGGTTCCACCTGCGGACCCGGCCCACGCCATGCTTCCAAGCGCGCGCGCGCGCCGTCTCCCCGGAAACCTTCCTCACCGGCGGCCTGTCGCCAAGCCACCCGGCCGAGGGGGCCTTCGGCGCGCGGGTCCACGCGCTGGTGCTCCCCAGCTCCGGGGCCTTTGACAGCCGACCGGTCGAGGCTGGCATCGCCCTCGGGCGCCTGCTCCAGGCCCTGGGCCTGCTGTATGAGGAGCTGCGGCTGGACCCGCTCGGGGCCCGAGCGGCCGGGGCCCTGGCCGATCAGGTCCTCGGGCCCATGTGCTTTGCCCTGCGGCTCAAGCGTTGGCTGGCCCGGTACGGCCTGTCCGGGTGGCTGGACCGGCGCCTGTCGGACCCGGCACTGCCGCTCCTGTGCCTGCTGCCCCCCTGGTGGTCGGTGGCGGCCGGCGATCCGGCCGCCCCCCGGCTCGGGCATCTCCATCCGCCGGATCTCATGCAGACGGTGGTGCGCTCGCTGGCACGCGGGTGCGAGGGTGCCCTCGAGCGTGGGATCCCCCCGGCCGGCTGGGATCGCTCCCTCACCGCGGACCTCCTCCATGCCGGGCACCTGCCCCGGGTGCGCTTTGTGCTGGCCCTCTTCCGGCCGCTGGCCGGCTGGACGGCGAAGCTGGCGGCCATCGGGCCGAATGTGTCCTCGGCACCCGGGGCCGGGGCCTCGCCCGGGGATGACCCACGAGGGCGCCTGCTCGGCGTGGTGGCCCGGCTGGACCCGGATGGAGCCCTGCTGGACTCCCTGCCGGCTGGCTTGCGCCTGCTCCCGCTGCTGGCTTTGGCCCAGGTGGGCAGGGCCTTGGGCGGCCCGGCCGGGCCGACTCCCCCGCCGGGCGAGGGGGCCCCCCTGTCTCCGGCGTACTGGCCGGCGCAGGTGCACCTCCTGGCCGGGCGCCGGGACCTGGCCCACATGTCCCCGGCCGGGGTGTGGCGCCTGCGGCCGGACACCGGGGGCCCCTGCCACCCGGAGCCCGGCAGGGCGGCCTCCGACCACGAGGCGGCCGACATGGCCCCCGGAACCACCATCACTCCGACCATGGCCGGCACGCCGGCCGGCCGCGCCCTGCGCCAGGTCCAGCGCATCCTCCGGTCCGAGGGCGGCATCCGCCTGCCGGCCCTCATCTTCGAGGCTCTCAAGCTGGCCGCCTCGCCGGTGGTCGACACGGCCCTGCCCTACCCGCCGGAAGAGCTGATGGAGTATGCCCGGGACCTGGTGGACCAGCTGGTCTTCCGGGCGTGGGCCCTGCCCCTGGGCCGGGCGGCGCTCGGGTTCCGGTCCGTTCGGGCCGGCGGATGTGCACGCACGGCACCCGGCCCGGGGTCCACCCTGGCGGCCGGGGCCCACCCGCTGGTGGCGTCGGCCCTGGCCGCGCGGCTGGTCGATCCGTACGCCGATCCGGACCAGGTCCCCTTCGCCCTGCCGACGCTGGTCTTCACGCTGGTGGCCTGTCCACGGGCGGCCGGCAACAGCCGGGCTCCGCCGGCGGCCCAGGCGTGGCTGGCCGCCGCCGCGGCCGCCGGCCGTGGCATCCCCGGCGGCCTGGACCCCGGCGAGGATGACGCCGACTCCGACAACGAGGATGACTCGCCCTTCCTGCCGCATGCCGTTGTCCGGTCGATTGCCGCCCCGGGGCCGGATGCCGGGCACCCATCGGCTGCCGTGGCGCCAGGCCGGGCCGCCCGCGCCAGCCGCCGAGCCCGGATGGATGCCCTGCTCGAGGCGTCCGCCCGGCCGGACGTGACGTCGGTGCCCGCCCCGCGCCGTGGCCCGGCCGTCGCGGCCGCCGCCACCGCCGCCGCCGCCGCCATTGCCAACATCACCGCCGGCAGCCGCACCCTCCTGCCCCTGTCGGCCACCACCGCCCTCAGCCCATGGTGCTCCTTCCACAATGCCTGCGCCGCGTCCCTGGGGCTGGTCACCCGTGTGGCCCCCTCCAACGCCTGGATCATGGCCAACCTGCCCGCCGACCCGGTGCGTCGCCTGATGCGGCTTTTCCCCTCGTCGGCTCGCCCGGAGAGCTTTTTTCTTTTTCCCGCCCCTCCGCCCTCCGGGTTTGCCTCTCCCTGCCTCCCTCTCCGGCCTGACCTTGCGCTCGCCCCCCCCCCCCGCCCTCCGGGTTTGCCTTTCCTCGCTTCCTTCTCCTGCCTGACCTCGCGCTCGCCCCGCCCCCCCCCCTCCCCCGGACGCATGTCCGCCTGGTCGCCCCCCTTTCCCTGAAGTACGCCCGGGGGGGCTACCTGTTCGGCCTCGGCCTCCGTGGCATGCTGCAGTCCTTCCAGCGGACGCCGGTCCACCATCTGCTCAGCCATGCGCATAGTGGCACCATTTCCGGCCTGCTGCTTGGTGCGTGAGCCGCCATCCACGCCCACAGGCGTTCCTCCTTGCTGCCTTCTCCATCGCCACCCACGCCCCGGCCGCAGGGCGCCCCCACCGGCGCAGGCCATGGGCCGGTTTCCCACGCCGCACCACGGCCAGCCAGCCGCCCAGCCACTGACCCGGTCCACCCCCCTTGGCGCCTTTGCCCGGGTACCCCCGCGGCCCAGGCCTCGCGGCGTCGCCCCTGGCCGCCGGGCAGATGGCCCTGCCACCGCGCTTCGTGCTGGACATGCTGTACCTCCATGTGCCGGCCTTGCTGCCGGCCAGCCTGGCGGCCGCCACCGAGGGCACGGCCGGCCGGGGGAGCCTATCGGCTGCGGCCGCGGCCGCCGACCTGCTGGTGGCGCCGACCGTCCAGTCGGCGGCCATTGTCGGCATTGGCCTGTCCTTTTGCCGGTGGCGCGGGGAGGGCTTCCTCCCGGAGTCGCTGTACCACCGGCGGAGCTACCACCTGGACCAGGCGGGCCCGGCAGCCCGGCGGGCCGCGGGGGGGGCCAGCCAGCCGCACTCGCCGGCGGCGGGCTCCCCGCCGCCCGGGATGGCGGCCGCCTGGCCGGACGACTGCGTCACGGCCAATGCCACCACGCCGGCCGAGATGGAGGCCGCGGCCGCGGCCGCCGCCGCCGACCCCCGGCTGGCCCTCATGACCGAGGTCCCCCTGCTGACGGAGGCCCTGCTGTCGGAGCTGGCCGCGGCGCCGGCCTATGGCGAACAGCTGGCCGCCCTGTCCGGCGGGTCGGCTGCCAGCCTGGCCGATGGGGCCGGCGGCGGGGCCCCCACCCAGGAGCAGCTGGCAGCCGACCCGACCGTGGCCGACCTCCGGTGGCCGCACGCGGCCGACCTGTATGCCACCTCCTGCGCCGTGGCCCTCGGCCTGGTGCACCTCGGCCGGGGCACCCACGCCGGGCTGGACATCACCCTCGGGTCGGCCCTGAGCCCGGACCTGGTGCGGCTGCACCGGGCCCAGTCGCGCGCGCATGACCGGGCCCCGGCCTCCGGCCCGCCGGAGGATGGGGCCCCGCGCACCGGCGCCCCCGGAGCCGGTGCGCGGATGGCCGCCGCCGCCGCCGCCGCCGCCGCCGCCTTCCCCTCGCCGGGCTCGGCCCCCCTGTCGGAGCACGATGGCGACACCTTCCACTCGGCGTGGTCTTTGGCGCCGCATGTGACCGCCCCGGCGGCCGCCCTGGCCCTGGGGCTCATTCACCTGGACACCGGTGACCCGACCGTGGCCGGGGTGCTGGGCTTCCGCCCGCACGCCGGGGCCCCGGACGGCGAGGTGCGCGAGGTCCCGGGGCCGGCGTCGGGCGCGGCCGCCCGCCATGCGCGCCTTCGCGCCCGCTTGGCGGACTTCCTCGGGTCCGAGCGCTCGCACGGGGAGCTCACCGCGCGGCTCCTGTGCCGGGAGATGACGCGCCTGCGCCTGGTCGGCCAGGCGCCCGGCCCGGGCGCCGGCATTTCCCCCGGGCCAAGCCCCGGCGAGGCGGCCATGCTGGCGGCCATGCGCGCGGCCGGTGTCCCGACCGCCGGCCCGGCTCCCGGCCCGGCGGCCGGCATCGCCCGCTACGTCCTGGACTTTGTGCCGGACTGGCTGCTGGTCGGCGTGCCGGCCGGCGACCTGACCGCCTGGGACGCGTGCACGGCCGAGGCCCTGGCCGGGCCGGCCACCGACCCGGCGCGCCTCTCCCTGCGTGACATCGACACATCGCCCTTCTACTTCGGCACCCTGGCGGCCGCGGCCCTGGCCCTGGGGCTGCGCTTCGCCGGGGCCGGCTTCGGGGACTTCGGCGCCGGCGACGACACGCCGGCCACCGGGGCCGACGGGCCTCTTCGCCCGGCCGACAGTCCGCAGCTTCACCAGCTGGATGCCACCCTCAGCGCCCTATGGGCACACGCCTGGAAGGTGTCCACTCGGCCGAGTACGCTGCCTGGGTCCCACCGCGGGCACCTGCCCGCCCTCCTCCCCCGGCCCGCGGCTCCCCGACAACGGGGGCCCCTGCACCTCGTGTCCTCCTGCTAACTCCCCCGGGTCCCCTGCCTCTCCTTGCCCCCCCCCCCTCCCCCCGGAACACAGTGAACAAGCCCACCGACCGGTGGTATCGCACCGCGGCCGAGGCATACTGCGCCAATGTGCTGCTGGCCGCCGGGCTGGTGTTCGCCGGGACCGGCGCCTCGAAGTGGGTGGCCCGGGCCCGGCTCATGCGCAGCCGCGTCCGCTACCCGGAGCCGCTGATCGGCTGGGCCACCTTCTCCCTGGGCAGCCCGCACGATGATGTGTATGCCTACCAGTGCGCGGTCCACCTGGCGCTGGGCTTCCTCTTCCTCGGTGGCTCGGCCTTTTCCTTCGGTGCGTTCGCCCCTGGACACATGCCCACACCATGCATGCTCGTCGGGTCCCTTTGTCGCCGGCTGCAGGGCGGCAGACGCTAACCCTCCGGCTTCGGCCCCCCTCCCGGCCCAGCGTCCTCCCCCTTTGCCAAGGCCATGCTCCTGCTGGCCGTGTATCCCCGGTGGCCGATGCACTCCTCGTCGGATGCCTACTCGCCGCATCCCCAGTGGCTGCGGCACTTGTGGGCCATGGCCGCCGAGTCGCGGCTCCTGTCGGCTCGACGGGTGCCGGACGACCCGGCTGTCGACCCGCTGGTCCATGGCGCCGCCGTGGACCAGGCCGACCCGGCCGGGCTCGGGGCTCCCCGGCGCGTGCGCATCGAGGTCACGGTCAATGACTGCGCGCACCGGCTGGCCGAGCGCCCTCTCCCGGCTGCCCTGCGGCCCAGCCCGAGCCTTGAACTGTCGGATGCCATGGCGCAAATGCCCTCGCCCAGCAATTCGGACCTGAGCCCGGCCGAGGACACCGGCATCCTGGACATCGACGGCGGGGAGGCTGCCGGTGCCGGTGCCGGTGCCGCCGGCCCCATCGGCCGCTGTCCCACATGTCGACCCCCGACCAGCGGCAATGGTGCCCCCGCCGCCACGGCCGCCTGTGCCCGGCGGTACCAGCTGACCACGCCCTGCCTGCTGCCCGACGCATCGGTCATCCAGCGTCTGGCTGTCGTGGACCCGGACTACCTGCCAGTGACTTTGGAGCCGCGGCGCTTCCGCCACCATGCTCGCCTCCTGCGCCATGTACACACGATCTTCGTGCAAGCGCGTGCCCCGGCCCCAGGGCTGGCGACCAGCCCGGCCCTTGCCCCGGGCATCGGGCCCTGTGCTCCGGGCTTGGAGGCCGTTCCCCTGGGCATGGCTCTGCCCCTGACGCTGGGCCTGGCCCCGACGCTGGAGCGGGCTCCGCTTGCCGGGCAGCCGCGCCTGCTCGGGGCACTGGTGGACTTGCTGCACGACTTGGCCCGCGCGGCCGGCGTCCTCCATGGGGAAAGCCGCGCCGGGCGGCCGCTTTCCACCCGGGACCCCATCCCGTTGCAACTTCTCCGGGAGACCGCACGCCGGGTGGGCCACTCGCCACTGTTGCATCCCCGAGCCCCGGCAGCACGCCGGGCCCCGGCCCCGGGGACATGGCGCGCTGGCCGGCCACTCCCTCGGGCTGACACCCAGCAGCCGGAGGCCCTCACTGCGGGGGATCTCCTGGCCCTGGAGGAGTGGTATCTCCAGCTGACCGAGCAGCTTGGCACCTAGATGCCAGTTGTAACGCCAATACATGTGCCGCATATGAAGCGAGGGGGCGAGGGGGCGAGGGAGGGGCGAGGGACAGAGAGAGAGAGAGAGAAAGAGGGATGAAGAGAAAGAGAGAGAGGGAGGAAGAGAAAAAAAAGAGAGAGAGGGAGGAAGAGAAAAAAAAGAGAGAGAGAGAGAGAGAGAGAGAGAGAGAGAG